CCCCCCCAAACTCCATTTTCTCTCCGCCCAAATCACAAATTATGACCCATCTGTTATCGACCCAAAAGCCCTAATCTGAAATTGTGACTCCATCAGGTATGTGCTCAAATCTCAAATTCAATCCTTTTTCAGTGGTTTATACAGTTAGCGAGAATGATGATTTCAACAATTTTACATATGATATCGCAGGATTTGCGCAAGTCTTGGCTAGGGTAAGTCGATTTAACTTCTGCCATATTTCTTGGCTGCTTGTGAACAATGAAAAGGGGGATCCATGTGTGTGATTTCAGAAGAAGCAATCACCCAGTTTGAAGCATTAATGGAGCAAGGTAACACTACTCTATTGATCTTTTCTTTAACAATGATGACTTGTTGTTTTGCTGCTTCCTGACATTCATATTTGGAAATTCTGAGCAGTTGATGAAGCACTCGAAACTACTTTTCAGGTTTGCATTTGTACCATTTTCTAATTTCCTCGTTTTATATGAATTTATAGTTTCTTTACTTTCTTGTCATGCTTTGTATGCTTTTATTTAAAGTAATTTATCCTAAATTCTTATTTTTTGGGGCAATTGACCTGCTGCCTAGAGTTGACATAAAGTTGAAAAATGTAAAGTAATACAGGGTGAAAGCACTGAAGCATGGGTGGAACCATGTCAGTTATTTGAATCAAGGAACACAAGAAGAAGTTAAGTAGCTAGGCAATTAAACAAATTAAAAGATGAAAATGGTGAAACTAAAACAGAACTTCTGAACATATGCTACCACTCAATATATCCCTATTCGACGCACACAAATCATAGTGGCAATTGGTACTTAAAAGTGTTGTCATAACCTGTAGTTCTCAACGTTCTAAACATATGGGTAATAAAAAAAAATTAAGAATAGTGATCCAAGATGTTGAAGTTCGTTACTTATTTCAAGTTTATTATCTCCAACTAAATGCTTCATTCTGAAACACATATCACCCGTACCTTACATAAACATACTTCTCACAATCACATCGCTCATAGGAACAATCCCATTAAGGTGGAAACAGTGGCAAATCACGTATATAGACTAAACAATGACCTTATTTTATTCCATACTAGGAATGGCAACAAGAGGAACAACCTTCCTCACGTTAACTCCAAACTATTCCTCCATGTCCAGTTTCTCCGGTGCCATCCCATCAGGTAGCTTCCAACTAAATGGTTGAATAATAGAAGCCAACATCAAATTCACCATCCTTATAGCAAGTGGCATTCCCGGATAAATTCTCCGGCCGGCGCCAAACGGTATAAACTCAAAGTCCCTACCTTTGTAATCCACACTAGACTTTATGAATCTCTCAGGCAGAAACTTTAGTGGCTTTTCCCAGGACTTTGGGTCTCTTCCAATTGCCCAAGCATTCACGGAAACTTGACTATTCTTGGGCACAATGTAGCCCAATACTTCTACATCGTTTTGTGCTTTGTGTGGCAAGAGTAATGAAACTGTTGGGTGAAGTCTCATGGTTTCTTTTACCGCTGCCTGGAGGTATGGAAGTTTCTCAATGTCTGATTCTTTTACTGGCCTTTCTATGCCTATTTGTTGAAGAATTTCTTCTCTTACTTTTTGTAACTCATGAGGATTTAGAAGTAGTTCTGCCATTACCCATTCTGTTGTTATAGCAGATGTGTCACTTCCAGCCATTAATAATTCCTGTCATCGGTTGTCGTGCCACACACATGCAAGAATCTATTAGCTTCATATATATTCTGTTTTGCAGAAGGTACATAATTACTAACTTTGTTAATTTATTTAAGAAGATTATTTAATACAACTTGGTACGCTGAAAATATTTGTTTCTACAAGTTGAGGTCTCTATTTGACAACCCATTGAGTTAGGGATTGTCATAAAAACTGTTCAAGTACAAATGGGATAAAATTCACAAGTAGTCACTTTTCAGCTCTGTAATTAAAAAATCAGACTTTGAAATTGCAGGTGAAATTAAAACTCCGTGACAATAGCTATTTTTCAATTACGGGGCTGAAAAGTGGCTAGTCGTGCCATTTCTACATTCTGGACCACCTAAATATTTGGAGAGAATTTTGAAAAAGTCACTCGTCATCTGGACGAGCTTGTAAAGCCTAGAAACTTTTTCTGTTTTAAAAGGGTTAATTTACATAGCCTTGAAGTACGTGCAGGATCACATCAGGATCACATAAGAATAAGGGGGCATTAATATACTTGGATATAATTTTAACCCAAGTTGAAAGTCTCCTAGCTAAGTGGCCAAGTGCCCAACTTAAGAAAAGTTGGCTAAGTTGAAGCTGGAAGAAGTCATTGAAATCGTGGCCTCAAACATAGACATGGTTGCCCATCTGTAGCCACACTTTCATAAGAGATCAAGAAAGGAATTACGAAACTATGGTGTGAACCGTGTGCACAGTTCAAGCGTGGTCCTTTACAGAGAGAAGAGGAAGAGGAAGGCCTAAAGGGCTGAATCAAGAGTCCACCGTGCCAACTGTTCTTTTTCATTTAAGTATAAGGTGAAACTCAAAATTCAAATTTGAAAAGGAAAGAGAAAAAGAAGAAGCAATTACCACCATAAGAGGCTTGATCGTTGTGCCAAATGGGCGCATCTTCTTCACATTGATCAAGAAGTACATCCAACAAATCTCCTTTTTTCTTCATCCCTGAGGTTCTAGCTTCTATTGTCTTCTCAATTATTGTTGGGAAGAAGAAACCATATCCTAATTCTAACACTCGTGGAGATTTACTTAGAGATAGAGAAGAAGGGTGAAGAAGTGGTCGTGCATATTATGTCTTTAGAATATAAGGAGACATAAGTTAGTGGGTTAGTGTGGGAGGAATAAATATATATGTCAAGTGTATAATATATACATGTACAAAGCAAGCAATGAAAAACACGAGAGATTTTTTCAATCAGATTTCTCCTTCAATTTCGTACATGGTATCAGAGCAATAAGCTCGATCCAACAGTCCAACCATCAAATCCATTTACATCAGATTCATCATCATAATCAGTAACCTAAAATGTTTAAAAGAACCATCACGTCTACTGGTGATACGAGCAATGCTGCAAAACCAGTTAGTTATGATGTCAATCACCATTATCTTCTCAACAACTCTGACTCACCTGGAATGACTCTAGTCAACACCGTGTTTGATGGAAGAGGATACCCAGTGTGTAGGAGATCTATTCTCCTGTCTTTGTCACCCAAGAACAAACTTGGTTTCATCAATGGAGCATGTCAATCTCCAGATCTGAAATCTCCAGGCCATGAATAATGGAGTTGTGTGAATGACATGGTCATCTCTTGGATCCTAAATGCTCTCTCAAAGGATATTGCAGACAGTGTGATATACTCCAAAACTGCAAAAGAAATTTGGGACAGCTTGGAGCAGAAATTTGGGAGATCAAATGGAGCCAAGCTTTATCATCTGCAGAAGGAGTTATCAGGTTTAGTACAGGGAAACAGTGACATTGCAGCATACTTCACTAAGTTCAAACGACTGTGGGATGAATTAGATGCTTTAAATGTTATCATATGTTGTTCATGTGTTTGTGAAGGAAAGGTAAAGTTGACTAAGTCTCTTGATGATCAGAGATTGATCCAATTCCTAATGGGATTAAATGACATCTATGCACAAGCAAGAGGAAATATCCTCATGATGAACCTTTTGCCTAGCATAGATGTTGCTTATTCATTTCTCTTGCAAGATGAAAATCAAAGAGCAGTTTATGCAAATGCACATTTTAATTCTAAATCAGTATTATTCATGGCAGCTGGAGACGCCAAGTAGCCTAATGCACAACTTCTAGCTGATTTTGCCGATTTTATGATCACATGACAAGGGAAGAATTATTAGAAACTTAGAAGCCAAACACAAAGAGGAGCAGCCATATCACCAAAATATAACAACGCAGGGCAAAAGTTTGTTAAACTTCATCAAAGGTTTAAAGGGAAAAAGAAGTACAATCCAAATGTGTCTTGTAGAATAAAATCTAGAAGATTTATTGGATTTCCAGAATCCAAATAATCCAGAAGATATTTTAACTTATCCAAATGTGATTAGTAACCTAAAATATTTGAATGTGTCTAGTACAATCCAAATATGATTAGTAGCATAAACTCCAAGCATATATTCGAACTTATACATATAGACACATGGGGACCTTATAAGTCAAATACTTACAATAGATTCAGATATTTCTTTACTGTAGTAGATAACTATAGCAGAGGAATATGGACATTTTTATTAAGTGCAAAAAGCAATGCTTTTTCTATGCTTAAATTTTTTCTGTCTATGGTTGAAAGGCAATTCAATGAGAAAGTCAGAATGATATGATCTGACAATGCATTAGAATTGGGAAAAGGTACACAAGAGGCAACTTTCCTAGCTTCAGAAAGAATTATACACCAACTGTCTTGTGTAACAACTCCTTAACAGAATGGAATTGTTGAAAAGAAGCATATACACTTCTTAGAGATTGCGAGAGAGTTAATGTTTCAATCCAAGCTACATATGTCATATTGGGGTGAATCTATCCTAACTGCCACACATCTTATTAATAAGATGCCTTCTAGTGTTCTTAAAGGAAAGACACCATATGAGGTTTTATTTCAAGAGAAACCCAAGTATGATCATTTAAAGAATTTTGGATGCCTTTGTTATGCTTCTACAATAGCCCAGGGAAGAGGCAAGTTCGATGATAGGGCAACAATTTGTGTTTTGCTTGGTTATCCGCTTCATCAGAAGGGATATAAGCTATTGGAATTGTCCACAAGAAGAGTATTTGTGTCAAGGGATGTAAAATTTCATGAATCACACTTCCCTTTTGTTGAAACCAGCACATCACAACATCTTATATTCCCAAGCTCAACATTTACTACAGAACCTACCTATTCACCTTCATCACAAGATCAATCCTCACCTATCTCTTTAGAACCTGAAGTTTGTGATATTTTCTCCTTACCATCACCAAGTTCTTCATACACTCCCTTTCATCACCAATTGTCTACTAGCCCAATTCTTTTTCAGTCTATCCTACATACACCACACACTACCTCACCTGTTTCTATACCCAAGTGGCCTACACCATTGAGAAAGTCAGGAAGAGTTTCCAATCAACCAACCTACTTGAAAGATTATGTATGCAGTAATATCATGTTCACAAATGTAGCATCAGCTTGTTTCACTTAACCAAGTAAGCCTAGGGAATTTTGTTTCTTTTCTCTGTCACCCAACAATCAACATGTGCTGCAATCCCTCTCTACTCTCACAGAACCTAACAGTTTTGCACAGGCTTGTCAACATCCATGTTGGATAGAAGCTATGAATGCTTAAAGCTCTAGAAGACAACCACACATGGCATGTGGTTGAATTACCTAAAGAAAAAAAGGGCTCTGCCTTGCAAATGGGTGTACAAGGTAAAGCATTCGAATGGAAGAATTG